TGACATGTACAGTGTAGGCAATATTCTGATCAAGTAGTTCCCTCAGGAATTGGTCATTGTGTTCTGGCTTTACTAGTACCACGGCATTGCGACCGACGCTTGCTTTGCTGATGAAATCCAATCCGTACTTCTGGACCATAGACGTTAAAGACCGCAGTTGCATTTGATCGGATGGTCTCACGTAGTAGGATTTCCATCTGAAATGAAATGTGAATTCGTGAATTTCAACTGTCGATGACATCTTTATATATTTGTCTCTGTACCTTTATAATGATGATAGAGATGGAAATATTGTGGTTATACAAGTGTTACGACAAAGGAAACTCTCTGTTCGCGTATACAGAAAATGTAATTTGCTTGAATGAACATAGAATTATTTGTATAGTTTATAGTGCATTTTTGGTTGAGAATATTTTATCTTGTAGTAGGTTTTTTCTCTTTAAAATATATGTCTATTTCTTAATTTTTCGAAATAAAAAAAAACAACTGACCCTTGATATTGTTCATGTTTGGCGTAAGCCACCGCAAATAACAAAACTAGCGTCAAGATCTTCATTGCTGTTAATGTTTACTTTGCCTACCGTACCAACGTTTATATAATGAGGAACTGATAATGTACACTCGTCCACACAGGTTATATTTATTATTTAGTTTATTGATACTAAAATAGAACCTAATTTAGTTAACTCGTGTCTTTTTAATTTTAGTTTTAAAGAAAAATAATATTAAAATTATTACTTAGTTTCATGGAGGCCAAATACCAGTCCTCTTCCTCATGGGAATTTTTTTCATTTTAAATAGGGAAAGTATGGGAAGAGGAAGTGGGTTTGGTGAGAGAGGGGATTCATGCATTCATATGCAAAAACGAAATGTCACTTTCTGCGCATTCTTACATCTGCAACGCAACCTCTAAACTGCAGATGTCTATGGGCAACGGTCACTTCGCTGTTTGCTCCCGCTATCTCGTTCACCATCTTATGCTGAGAAAAACTTTAGTAATCCTACAATTAAGATACACAAAATCGCAAAAAATATATTTTTGGCTCACTTGACCTTGAATATTTTTTTTTCGAAATGGGGAATCGATCAAATCTTATCGAACACATCTACCAATTTGCACCTTTACAAAAACATCACCGCTTAATTAACCTTATGACCACACATGTTTATTATATTTCATCAGCTACGTATATATACGTCCCCACCGAGGGGCTCGGAACCTACCCTAAGTTAGGGGTGACTAGGCCATAATCAACCATGCTGGCCCAGTGCGGGTTGACTTCACACATATCTTCGAATTTCTACGCAGATATATGCAGGTTGCATCACGATGTTTTCGTTCACCGTAAAAACGTCGGATAAATGTAGATATATAAATCGAAAACATGGTACATGGCGGGATTCAAACCCAGGACTTGCAGATTGCAAGTCAACTGCTTGACCCCTGAGCCACCGACGCTCCAATATTCATTACTCATTGGAAAATACAACAATTAGATCTCAAAGATGTTTTGAGAGATTAGTATTCATCGAATCGAGTTTGGTATATTTTGCTATCAATAAACCATCATCTATGAATCAATTGATTCGTCAACATTATCTTCTGTCGATATTGATTAATTACGTTATATCCGATACTGATTTGTAATTAATTTGAGCAGGTGAACGATTTATCTTTTAATATCTATAAACAATTATTATAAATACTGCATGAAGAAAATTACCGCTTCATTTAGCATTAATAGTCAACATGTTTAAAATTGTGTTATTCTTTGTTTTATATTTTAGTTTTTCGATTGCCAAACATGAACATTACGATGGGTAAGAGTTTTAAATCTTACTTCCTATTATAATTATAAATGTGAATGTTTAGATGGATGGATGTTTGTTTGAAGGTATTTCCAGAACGGCTGAACGGAACGATGAAATTCGGCATAAATATAGAACATAGTCCGGAAGAAGCGCGGAAGGAGTTGCGGGCGTCAGCTAGTAATTCTATAAACTACAACAACAACAACATAACCTATAATCCTCCTTTTCATTTGGCGCGCTGCTGACACACCTCTCTCGCTTTTCTACATTCATACATCTACCCGCACGTCGGTTTTGTGGTTCTGGTGGCCCAATCCGATGAGGGAGAGCCATAAACAAGAAACAGAAGTCTAAATATTACAGTATTATGGAAAAATAAAGTAAATCTATGACCATGATCATAGTATACTAAACTGGGAATGAACAATCTGCTAAATTATACTTATTCATTTCTTGATAATAATAAATAATTGGAGTGGAATAAGAAGTGGAGCAATGACAAGGGAATGATCTCAGAGCCAATACTTGTGAAGAATAAATGATCACTGATTTCTCCGAAGCATTCCTTGTCTTCTTTATTACTGACTTGCGTTCATGCCTTCAACGTTCTTGAGTCGCATAATGTATTGTTTAAGATTTTTTATTTCAGCTACGTCGTTTATCAAATCACTGTAACTGATAAACAACAAGCAGAACGAGTTTATACATTAGAAAATGAGTTGCTATTGGACGTTTGGTTGTACGCAGCTCCGACGATTCCTGGATTGGTCCTCGTTCCAGGACCTATGAGAGAACGCTTTCAGTCTGAAGTTGCAGCTATCGGAGCGC